ATGTAAGTAACTCACTCATGAGTTTTTTATAAATTTCCTACCAGATATAAAATTTTTAGATCAACTTAGATAGGAGAAATAATTGACTATATCATCACATAATTATTAATACAAATTATTTTTAAAATGAGTTGCACCTAGTTTGGTTGGCAATGAGACAAACTGAACTCTCTTATGTCAAAAGAAGACTGCCATCAGTGTAAAACTGTGTTACTACGAAATTGATCACAAAGAGGAGTTGGTGTAATCATTCAATAAACTAGTGTTTTGATGGGACTACAGAAAAAAATGCCTTATTTTATTTGCATTTATTTTATACAGTTTATCATATGTACATGTAAATATGTCATATTTATATACATATCATATTTATTTACATCTTATATTTATGTATTTATTACACTGTTGATGTATGAGATAAAATTAAATTTTTCACCTTAAATTTCACTAATGATCACTTAGTAAGAGTCAGTGTGTACAGTATTTATTAGTTAAACAGCAAGAAGATAGTGCTAGGGATTACTGACAAATGAGTATGAAAATCAACCCTCTCATCATTTACAAGACTCTAGTAATACAAGGAAATATTACATTCAGATTAAGGATCAGATGTATGTTTATTTTACATGTCAATCCATAAGAGCACAAATATCCACACAATCATATCTAAATTGGCAATTACTTAATTTCAAGATAAAATCTCCAAGACTTTTTAAGACCTGAGAACATGAGACTGCCTAGGAGGTTGCACTGGATGAAAAGAACATGTATTTGTAGAGATAACACATTTTGAGATATTGAGAAGTAAAATGGTTTTACCATCACTTCCATGGATTAGTTTATCTAGATTAAGAAATTATTACCCTCAATGGTACAGTAGAGAGTGTATAAGTGTGTAAGACCATTTGGCAAGGAGTATTTTCACAGACTATAATTATATTTTTCTGAAGAAATCATTCTTGTGTTTCCTTCAATAGCTTAAACCTTCCTTCTGAAATTTAGTGTGTGGGTAAAGCTGGCAATGTAGACATTTCCTTGGAGAGTGAGTTTTTACCATGGGTCCAGACAGCAGTGCTGGAAACAAAGATCTTTCCATAACATCTAATAAAGAGAACTGACAGAAATAAAACAGAATTTTCTCTTAATTGGCGCTGTGATCTTTTGAACTGTTCAAAAACCCAAAACATTTTCCAAGCAAGAAAATTCAAAGATTCTGTTCTATTGGGATGTATAAAAACCTTTTCAGGTCTCAAAGAATGGAATTCTGACTTCAGAGTTTGTTTTGACCTAGGAGAAGCAAGACCGATCTCCCTTACATCCTCTGAAATTTCCTGTAAGCTTTTAAGTCTACTATGGAAATGTGTGTGTGTATAGCATAAGCATGAGTGATGGCATGGAATGTTTGTAACTTTTAATGAAAAACATGTTGTGTTTTGTCCATTTCTTCATTAGAAGTAGCAAGGGGCAAAACGTCTGTGCATCACTGCACCTCCTCCCTTCTGCGTCACATCTTATCACAGGCAGTGGGCAGGGAGCTGGGGTAGGGAGCTCTGTGCAGCCACCTTCCTGCTGTGGCTGGCTCTCTGACATGAATGACCTGTGTGTGTGAGTTCAGGTCCTACCATGTTGCTTCTAGTGCAGTTGAGTGAGAAGTTCACCCTTTTGAGCCTTAGTGTTCTTCTCCTTAAAAGGTGATTCTGAGGGAAGGCCCTGGTGTCCCTCTCAGAAAGAGATGACCCTCACAGCGTGCTTCCCACCAGCCATGAGTCTTGTGGTCAGCACTGCCTTGGAGGCCTGCTCTCTGCTGAGCAACCCAGGGACTTGTGGAGAAGAGGCGCATGCCAAGGGATGGAGGGTCTGCTCAGGAACACCAGGCCAGGCTTCTTTTGGAAGGGGAGGAGGAAACACTTGGCAACACATCTTCATCCTGGCAGATCAGTGGGCAGAATTCTGCTTATAGCTCACAACCAGTCATTTCATGGCTTTGATATAAAATGATGATTTCAGGAGGGCAGGAGGTGGTCAGTAGAAAATGGGGGCTCACAGTCTGGCTCACCTCCCATCTTCTCATTCTCTGCTCTATCCATTCCTCATCATTTTCTTGATGTGGGATTTCCACGACTCCCACTGAGGTCTCAATCCCAGGTCTCAGGCTTGGTGCTCTGTTCTCTGCATTCAGCCAGCAGGTTCTCTCAAGTAACATTCCATGTACAGCCCAGTCCCCTGCCAGCACGGCTCAGCCCAGCCACGTCCTCCCGGGTCCCTCTTGTTCAGACTTCAGAGCTCTGCTCCACCCTTCCTCTCCCTCCTTCTCCAACATGAGCTCTCCGAGATCTCTGTCTTCACTCCCAGGAAGAGTTTATGATCTGGGTCTTGGGTGGATACACTTCTGCCCACTTTACTGTTCATCCAGCTGCTTACAAATTCTCAACTTGCATCCCAGTTAGAAATAAGATTTGCACAGGTATTCAGTTCATGCAAGTTTACACACACACATGTACACACACACACACATGTGCACACACACATCCCTGCACAAAACCCTGAAACAGAATTTAACCCCATTATATACAATGTCACTCTAACACTGTCTCTGTTAACTAAAATTCACTAGCAAGGAGTTCAAGGGGAAAAGGGGAGGTTTTATTTTTAAAAAACAAAACCATCCTCAAATCAGGACAGCTTATGGTTTGGGACATAAGGGAGCGGCGCAGGAGGAAGGGAGAGGGGCTGGTGGACTGTGCGAACTTCCACTTGGAGATGCAGACTGCGCACCTGGGCACTCAGCTGAGGAGCTGAGTGTGGATGGCAGCTTGGCGCCATGCCCAGGGAGAGACAGAGACTTTCTGGGCTTCATTTATCTTGGGGTTGAAACAGGAACATGTCCTGCCAAGGGCTGCACTGTTTAGTTTGTCCTTCTTCGTGGCACACAGACTTCACATGGGTCCTCAATCAGCAAAGGCTGCCAGGCTCCATGATGAAAGAAAAGAGTCAAGAAGTCTCCAGGTGGCTGACCAGGCCTCAGTCAGCCACCAGGAGACTTCTTGACTCTTTTCTTCTTCATTTGCTAAACATTCTGAAATTTACCAAGGGGGTTTGTTGCCCTCAAATGTGCCATCCCCAGCAATTTGCAAGGCACTGGTCTATAGAACTCACACAGGGCATCTCATGTTGTTTATTGTGCAGCTGTTATGTCCCCAGCAGCTAGAGTTGCCAGACAGGGTGGCACTGTGTGGATATCACAGTCTTTACTGAATCTAACCATGGCTTCAGAATAAGCAGTGGCCCAGTAAGTATTGCAGAAGACAGCAGGAAACAAAAGGAGGGAGAGAGGGAAGGAGTGGGAGAAAAGGAAGGAAGAAAGGAAAAGAAATCTCTGAAGATGTTGATTATGCTCTCAAATTAATTGCCTCTCACTGACTTGCACAGTTCAAAGAGAAAATTAAGTACAACTCAAGTTTTAGAACTCACACTAGTAACATACATTACTGTGATGACATGCCCAGGTTGACTTGGAGAGAACACGCTTTCATTATTGTAAGTCCATCCTCTTAACTAACTCATTAAACTGCACTGTACCATCACAGTGCTTTATGTACTCTGTGCAGATAAAGTAATGACAGAAAACAAGAAAATACTTTTTCTAAATCCTTTGTAGAAAATTGCTTGTGCATTTTGATTTTAATAACAGTAAGTATACAGAAATGTGATAAATAAAGGATTAAAAATTATACAGCAAAATAATTTTATGTAAGCCAGTCTTTTCATGGAACAGTATTAAGTCTTCTATTTTTAATTTTGAAACAATAGCAATAAAGTGGTGGTTTGACAACCCTTCATGTTAAAGCAGACAAATTCCCTTATATACTTCAGTTAAAGCTTTAGGAATTATTATTAAAAATAAATGTACAATATGATACAGTTTATTGCCTTAATTTCCATGACTGTGGCTTCCCAAGCATAATTACAATTTTTTTATTTTAAAGAGAAAAAAGATAAAACACAATTTCAAAACAAGATAATAGAAGGGTAACAATAGTTAATACACTGTTTATTGTTATCTTTAAATTAGTTACTCAGAGCACAAGATATAGGTATTTAATTGTCCAAACAATATTAGCATAAACCTTTCTTTGAAATGAACTAAGAGAATTTAGCAGTATAACTATCTTAACTGTCTTGTATATATATATATATATTTTTGCTTTTTGCTTTTCCCTCCCGTCTTTTCTCCTTTACCCATTCCAATTTCTGTTCTTTCGAACAGTTTCTTCCCCTTTTACAAAATCTATTGCATATTTTGGATTTTATTTACTCCTTCAGCTCATAATTATGATTTAGAAAATTTGAAAATGCAGATTTATTGTGGCTCTATCACCAAAAATTTAAACAAATTTTAATTTTTGGATTTCTTTAAATTTTGTGTATTTCTTTGGAATCTCTCTCTCTTCCTCTCTCTCTCCATCTCTATGTCTATTATATAAAATACTTTTATAGTTTATAGTTTATATCTATACTTATGGGGGGAGAAAAGAGAGTGTATAGCAAGAAGATATACATTAATATTGACTGGTATTTTAATACTCAACAATTATGATGTATTATAAAAATATATAGTATCCAGAGACTGCCCTTTCATTATTTCATCTCATGAAATTAATTTAGTTGACTTAAAACTACTGCTAAATTTAGATTCACACATTTATTCCTTGTAAGTTTTCTCAGAAACTTTGTAGCTTCAGAACCACAGATTGCTACTCTCAGCTACCATGACAAGTTGCTCCACTGATGAGAAGCAGGTAGAATCAGTGAACAAATACTGAACCAAGGATGCTTTCAGTGCAACCAGAAAATTCATTCTTGACCCAGGCCCTACCTACTGGATTAGCAGCAGTAAATACACAGTTCACTGTACTTGATTTAAATACACTAGTCTGTCAACTGGTAAAATAAATATAAATGTCAATGCAACTACTTTAACAGAATTTACTTTTTTTCAGGTGATACAAATACCTCTACTCCTGCACCAGCAGCAGCAACAGTTTCCACAACAAAAATATCTGTATCAACAACAAACACAACCAGTGATGCTACTGAACCAACAACTGGAACATCTCCTACTGGTAGGACTAGCTCTTCATAAAAAATATTTTATCTTTAACAAACAAAACTAGTAGAGCCTGCATACTTTAATACAAGAAGTACCCTGGAATCTTATATATGATTGTTGCAAAGATCTGTGCTGTGTCACTCTTCTGAGATCCCTGTGTGCTCTGGGGTTTCATCAGAAGTCCGGGATCTCAGTGGGTCTCCTTGCCAATATTCTTGGAGACTGCTTCCTGTTTGAGAATGTTCTTATTGTGAATATTACATAAACATAGTTTATTTTTGGAGAGGAAAAAACACAATGCCTAAGTCATAAAAATATCTAGCTGCTCTAGCTCCCCACTTGCACAGCAGGGCCAGCACGGCATGCCTTTATTAAGAGTGGACTGATCTGGTGGTTGTTCTGTGGTGATAACAGATTTAATCTGTTAGCTTCAATAGCAATGTCATCGTTTCTGTCACTGGACTGAGTGATAACAAATGGATCCAGCATATCTAACTATTAAAGGAATTGCCTTATCATCCATAACAATTTAAAGTGACATTAGAATCCTTCCAATAAAACCCAAAGGTGTGTCAGTGCAAAGCAGTGTTTGGTTTATCCTGCTCCATACAGAAATGAGGTATGTTGCTCAGTTCCCTTATCAAAGTGAGACAAAACATAGCACTTCTCATTGATTGCCTAGGGACAGAAACTCTTGTTAGAATGCCAAGGTCACAGAAAGACCAAAAAATCAAGTACCCTGAATGAATTGATGACTGAAATTCTTCCTCAGCTCTTGATTCCTCCCCTTAGTTCTTTTTCTGAGACCAAGCTCTGACATGCAGATCAACAAAGGCCAGTCCTCTGGGCACCACTGGGGTGGAGATGCTCAGAGATTAAGGGTGCGGTGATCAAAGCCTACTACTTTGGCAATGTTTGATTCTGAGATGAAAGCAAACCAATCCTCCTAGAACTTCACTATCAAGTCAGGGGAAACATCATATAATGAGAACAGCATGGGGTGTTTTATTCCCAGAATATTGTACAACCTGTATTTCCAGCCAAGGGAAACTCCAAAGGACACAGGTAGAAAGCCATGGCCCATGACGCCTCTCGCCATTTCCTTCACATTGTAGTTTTAATTTTAATCAAATCCAAAGTCTTTTCACTTAGTTATATCCCCAGCTTTTTTCAGACAGGGTCTTAATAAATCATTAAGCAGTGTAGGATGGGCTTGAATGTCCAGTTCTCCCGCATCAGCCTCCCAGAGTGCTGGGATTGCAGGTGTGTACCACCACACCTGGATTTATGCTTTAAAATAGTCCTAGCCCTATGTCCCTAGGTGCTGAGAACAGCATCCTGGTACTTTTACAAAGTGTAACTATGAGGTGGGATCAAAGCACGCTGTATGTTTAAATAAAATTATTACCATAAAAGGTACATTACCATGAATTCTTCTGAAAATTCTCCTCCTCATTTCAACACATTTATCCCATCCTTCTTGCCACTCTCTGAAGCTGTCCTGAGGTCCTCTTTCCTGCCTCTAGCTGCGTGGTCATAGCTGCCTAGATGTCCAGAACTGACTCAAAACATTGACCTTCCATGGTCATTTTGACTTTGGGGGAGAGTCAGGAGTTGCATGGTGCCAGGTCCAGCGAGTAAGATGGGTGAGGACACACCGTGATGTCTTTACAAGTTGCCTTTCCCCTGGACCACACTCAGCAGAAGCATTCACTGTATTTTTAATCACACCCCACAAAGACACTCGTGGACTGCTTCAAAAAGTGGCGAGAACAATGAGACAAGTGTGTGTGAGACAAGGGGGATATTTTAAGGGAGGTTAATGGTAATGTGTTTCTTAACTGTAATTTTTAAAAATTTAAACATTCACTATAGTTTCTGATTGCTTCTTGAATTTTCCCCCTTCTCACTCCTTCTCCCTCTCTTTGAGTTTCCAGCGGAGTCCAACATAAAATTGACAATTTGACAGAGATTCAGTGAAAGTATAGTAACTCTGCCATCAGTAATGCCCCTAGCTGCTGCCACAGGGAAGCAGGGTGTCGACGTGGTGTGAAGACCCAAAGTCTCTTGGCTCCGGTCCACACCAGTGCAGTCCAAACTGAGACTGAGACAAGGGCAGGGGCTGTGTGCTCAGAGCACTGTGGGGCAGCTCTGGAGACAGGGGCCCAGGAGTTGGCTGTGTGGATGCTGCCTGGTCCCCGCTCTATGGGGAGGGCGCAGGTGAGCCAGTATCTGGGTCACGGTACTGCTCTCCCTCCAATAGGAAATGCAGCCAGCATACAGCGTCAGAAAGGGTGCAGAATTTGTCTTAAAATCTCATGTTCTGCGCAATGCATCTGTGTGCTTGGCTTCCTAATTCCAGGCCTACGGGAAGCTTAAATTTGGAGCAGTTGTATACATTCTCCCATCTTCCAAAATAATCAGTTTGAATGACACAATATATCAAAAGGGCATCTCCACAGTGACACGGTTTCTGTTTTCCTTCCTCATGGACAGCTTGGCTCCCTTAGCCACAGTGAACATATTCACCAAATAAATAAGTAAATAAAATAACATGCATAGATTCTTTAGTTTAATTTTAAGGCCTCCCAATCACATTTTTCTTTGTTTAAAGTTGGCTTCATGCTGCTATATCTATAGAAAGCGTATAAGTGTTCTTTCTCTTGCCAATGGTGGAAATTCTACCATCAGAGTAGAAGTGTAGGTGAGAGGAGGGGTCTCCTCAAAGGCCATAGCCTAGTGGCAGCCACTGGGAAGACCTTTGCCTGAAGGAGAGCCGGCTTTCAGAGATTTACAGCTAGGGAGAAGGGACTTGAGCCTCCCGGATGGACTCGGGTCACTGCTCACTACGCAGAGGTCAAGCGGCCAAAATTAAAAATCACATTTGGCAGGCACTGCAGGTGACCATCATAATGTGAACATCTAAGGTACAAAAACCAACCTGAAATTTTCTTCTTAAATATGATTATTATTGAGCATGGTTCAAAGAGGGAGAAGCTGGTGGTTGGGCCGTGGTCCACAGAGTGCTGGGCACATCCAGGTGCATTTGTCTGTGCGGACAGTACATGTGGAACACTGAAGGATGGTCTTAAAACTTCTTCTTGTGGTTTTCTTGTCTTACTGGTTAGAATTAAAAAGGTTTGGGTACCTTGAAGTCTTTCTTCTTTAGTCCATTGTCTTTCTGTTAAGTCTGGAAGGAAAGTGTCTCCCATGGGATACCTGTTTACCTGATCCTTTGGTTTCTTCTTTTCACAGACTTTTGATGTGATAAAGCTGATGTTTTACTTTATGTTTATTCTCACAAAATGTTAAATGATGACAGGTTAGACATTTTCTTGAAATACTTGCCTAAATAGAATTTAACACATCTCTCAAAGGTTATTTTAGAAAATGTTATAAATACTAACTCACTGAACAATTTTAGAGAATAAAATTGCAGTATGCTAATGATGTATTCTAAACATTTATTGACTCAAAATGCTGCAGTAACCTCAAAATAGATAGCTATAGTTCCTTTTAATGTATATACTAACTTTAGCCTGTTTTTCTGCTCACTAGGTACTTGGATGTACTTACTGATTTTTGGCATGTAATATTTACAGAAATCATAGTTATCAGTCACTGTGACATTTTCCTCACAATAGTAATATGCATTTATACTTCAGAATTTTAACATAAGTAGCATAGCGGAAAAATTTCACCATAACTTTTATGAAGAATGCTTACTCATAGTTGAAAATGAACAGTCATAAATTAGCAACAGATCTAAAATAACTTCACTGTTCCTCCACATACAAACACACTCACACACACATATACACTCACACATACACACAAATGCATACTGTGTGAGGAGGTGGGTATGTTAATTAGCTTGATTGTGACAATAATTTCATAAAGCATGCACATATCAAACATCACATTGTACACTTTAAATGTAAATTATTTTTTGTCCATTGACTCTCACTAAGACTGGAAAAATAAAGGCAGTATGTGATTAGCATCGTGATTATATTCGAGGATCAGTATCATAATCACTATTCACACAAAAGTTGAGGAACACCAGAAATTAGTATCTAGTTACTTCCTCATTTTTGCATAGATCAAGGCTAATCCCAAATCCCAAAGTAAAATGGTAGCTGAAGCCTGAGTTTGATGCTCAACTTCTTCACATCCCTCTCCTCTAACATGAAGCCAGGGTAGAAAGAAAAGGCTCAGGGCTTTGAACAGTTAGAAATTGTACGCACCCACTCCTTCTCTCTTCATGTTCACTGTTTTCATTCCATGTGTCCTCATCTTTATGTTTTGAATATTCAAGCAATATATGATCCAGAGGCCAGCATGGATCATATGGGGACAGTGGGAGCATGATGTTAAGAGTCCCATCCTTCCACTTTTGGTGCCAAGAGCTCCCATGCAGGTGCTGTCTGGGAAGGCATAGTCTCTGGCCAGAGGGGCATCCTATTCATATGCCTACATCCTCACACAGGAGGTTGACATCCATGAGCAGGAGGACCAGAAACTCCCTGGGTTAACCTCCCCGGGTTAACCATTAACCTCCCCGGGAGGTTAATGCTAGGGTTTCCTTGGTTGGCCATTTAAAGTGTGAGCACCTAGGACCCAGGAGAGGTCAGGCAGTCTGAACGATCAGTGCTCCCAACCTGACTTCTTTTCAACACCTGCTGGGAAATCTCTTCCCACTGCTAAGACAACCTAAGCCTCACACACAACTGACATGGGGCGAGTAGCGGAAGAAGTTACCCTCCCCGTGTAAATATTGTTCCGTCCCCACACCACTCTGACCCTTACTGTCCCTTGGTTCTGTCCAGCCGGCTCATCTGTGAAACTCCCTTCTGGACTAGGATTTTAAAGCATTAGACTAACTTCATGGAAACAGGTAGTTCACCCCTAATAGGGCCTGCATAAATATAAGAACCTAGATATTTCAAATGTCATGGTAAATAGGGAATTGAACCCTCATTACAAACAAGTGAGCTCTGTGTGTATGGTGACATATGCCTCTAGCCCAAGCTACTTGGAAAGCTGAGGCAGGAGGATGCAATTTAAGGCCAGCCTGGAAAATTTACTTCAAAAAAAAAAAAAAAATGGCTAGGGATGTAGCTCAATAGTAGAGCACCTTGGGTCATTCCCTAAACCCCCAGTACTACAAAAAGTAGGTATTCCCAGGTGTTATACGAAAGAAGAGAATGTTTTTGCAGAATACATATAAAACTGATGGGCTGTGTTTGTGTGTACTACGAATAGCACACACATAAGGTAGATCTTAGCAAATAGAAAGATCTTTTTACTATGTAGATCTTCATGTCCTCAGTGTCCTTTTATGGAAAATGATACTTACTAAATGCCAGGAATTATTCTTGGTATTACTCAGATTAGAAAGATACTAAAAGCCACACACCACCCTCAAGAGTCTAGGAGAGGCCAGCACACAACAGGAATTTGAAAAATGTTACATGAATGAACAAATAATTACAAGTGGACAAGTTTCTTTATGACTTATTTGAAATTGTCATTACCATAGCTAAATTAACAAAACAGCACACAATTCATATCAACAAATGATATTCCCTGATCCTGTCAACCAGGACATTTTCTTCCACAAGGAAAAATAAAATGATTCCAAGTGGCTGGAGTTTAGAGTTTTGCAATACTTTTCTTCATGTTTAATGAAACCCAGGTAACAGTCAGCAAGAGAAGTTCGCAATTTGGATCTATCATACAAAAATCCATGTGTGTGCACAAGTGTGCATGTACATGAGTGTGTGTATGAACAGATGTTTAAAATAAGGCCACCCACCCAAGCACTCAACACATACATTCCTCTTTGGACAAAAGGAGCTGGAAAATGGAAAAATTAGAGATAGACAAAAGCTAACCCAGTCCCTCTGCAGAGGGATCCAGTGTCTACTTCCATGTCTACCTTATATTTATTTGTTGCTTGACAAGTGAGATGAGACAGTGACCAATAACAATGGCATTTCTTACCTAACTAGGAACAGCCAGCACTAGCACACCGCGGCTGCTGTCAGTTACTCCGTCAACAGCAGGTAGAAGTACAGGTGAGTAGATTCATTTTACCACCTTTAAAGCATACATAATATGTGCATTTAATTATGCTCCATAGTCTACCCCTTACACATGTACAGTTCAGTAAATTTATAAATTCTCAGGTTTGCCATTTTCTAATCTATGAGCATGGAATGCTTTCGTGTTTACCTAAATCTCTAATTTCTCTCAATGACATTTATAGTTTTCAGTATAAATTATTTGGATTTCGGTAATTCAATTTATCTTATTTTTGCTTTTGTAAATGAAATAACTTTTTCTTAGTTTCAATTTGGGGCTGTTCATAGAAAGATATCATTTTGCTGAACTCCTTTACAGGTTCTATTGTGTATGGGTGTGTGCATGTGCATGTGTGTGTGAGTGTTTCCTAAGATTTCCTATACACACTATGGTGTAATCTGCAAAAAAAGCTAGTTTCCCTTCTTCCTTCAGCAAACACGTTTCACTTTATTGCCTGATGGTCCCAGTGTTATGCTAGAGAGGACAGTGAGGGGATCTCCTTGCCCTCTTCCTAACAGCAAGGGAAAGGCGTTAGCTTTCCCTTCACTGCTGTTACTTCCAGGCTTTTTTAGATGCCTCTCACCAAGATGAGCAAATTCTATCACGACTCAGTTGAGTGTTTCTATCATGGAAGAGTATGGAACTTTTTAATGTCTTTTCTCACGGTATTGAGGTCACAATGTGATTTTTATCCTTTGTTTTATTACTATTGCATATAACATTGATTTTTATATGTCAAACCTACTCTGCCTGTCTGGGATAAAATGAACTTGGTCACAGAGTATGTGTAATCATTTGGATGGTGCTAGATTTCTTCATGTTGCTAGATTTGATTTGTATTATTTTGTCAAGGGTTTTTGTGTTTATATTCCTGAGAGGTAAAGCATCCCAGGCTTCTTTTCTCGTGATGTCTGGTTTTGGTATCAAGGTGGTCCTAGCCTCCTATAATTAGCAGAAAGTGTTCCTTGCTCTAACAATTTTTAAAGAATCTTTTTGAACAAGGAAGGTCACTATTTTAGGAAACTCGCTTTTAAGTTAGGTCTTCATTGCCTCATTTCTTTAACCAGAGGAAACAATTTGACATAAAATTTTGGGAAGCAGCCCTACATGCCAGTGTTTCACAGAGGTGAGTTCAGTGTGAGCAGTATGAGACACTGGTCTGTGCAGCGGGGAACCTGTGCTCTGCTCCTCTCTGTTCCCCCTGAAGGCAGTGCTGGGGGCTTCCCCACACACCTGGGAGAAGCAGGGCTTCAGGAATACAGTCTAAAATGATTGGGATAAAATCTGGCTATTTCAATTCTATTCACAAGAAAACAAAACTTTCTCATGCATTCTACAACCAGAAAGCAAACAATGCACTCTTGTTCATCCCACCTGACCTGGCAGAAACCTCACTGCTAATTGTTACAAACTGCAACTCTGAAAAGGGAGTGACTGAGATGTTCCAGAAGCTTCTAAGGTCCCAATAAGCACTGCTACTAGTGATTCAATGGTATATGTGGCCTTAGGGGTAAATTGGATCAATATGTCTGAGAAAGTAAAGAAGAAACCCTACCAAAATTTACCCTACCAAAAACACTACTACAGTACACTTTAGGGAAGAGGAAAGTCAACATCTACATGGAAATGAAAACTTTCAGGAAGAGCAAGAGGATTTTTTATTAGTATATTTGCAGTAGCTGCAGAGCGATTTTTTAAAATCCTAAATTCTGGATCTTTCTGAGGCCACTGAATTATCGCAACTTACTAGATTTCTGTGGCTTTTAAACAAAGGACTGCTCTAAGTATAAGTATGATTTTATTCCTGGCCTAGGATTATTCTCAAGTGTCTGTAAGCACCAACCTTGGTGAGTGGGGTTAGAAAGTAGACAAGTCTCTCTCCCAGTTTGCCACAGCCTGTATCACAGGGAGCACTTGTTGGCTGCTCCCTGGGGTGCTGCCAGCTCCTGGGGAGGATGTCCTTTCACAGGCCATCACAAAAGGCCTCCGGGGCCTACCTCACCCACCATTTAAATGACATAGGAATTTAAAAGGAGGTGCACAGCTCATACAAATAAAGCCTTCTCCCTTTTTAATCTCCTACTAGAAATTCAAGTCCTATCACTTGCTGTCTTTCACAACTCTCTTGGGTTCCCTGAAAAGTCTGAGGGACTCCACTTAGCCTGGTCCCATGGTCTGAGCTCATCCTCTCCAGGAAAGAAGTACCAGAGAAGGCAAAAAGTCTTGAGTCCTTCCTGCATGGTTCAGCTGTTTGGCCTACATTCCTCACACATCTTTTCCCCTCTTAGACTTAACATTGAAAATTTCTTCAATCTGAGATATTTCTTTTCACACCAAGGACAGACATGAAAAGAATCCAAGCTAATCTTCGAGAAGCTCCTACTTGGGCTGGGGATGTAGCTCAGAGGTGTAAGCGCTTGCCTGGCAAGCCTGAGGTCATGAGTTTGATTCCAGGTACCAAAAAAAGAGAGAAGCTCCAGCTCTAGTGTTTGCCAGTGCTTGGTAACATCTTCTTGGGGCTATCTGTGTAACATGAAGGTGCCTCATTTTGCTGTAAGGGGCTGTTTAACCACAGAAGTCAATAAATCTGCTGTTAGTCCAATGAGGATGCCCTTATATGTAACTTGGCACTTTACTCATGCAGATTTTAGAATTTTTGTCTTGTACTTTTGACAGTTTGACTGTAATATGCTATGGTGAAAAGATTTTATTTTATTTGGTGTCTTATAAGCCTGCTATGCATAGATATTCCTGTCTTTCACATAATTAACAAAGCTTTCTGGTAGTATCTCATTGCATAGATTTTCTAGGCCCTTAATTTATTTCTCCTCTCTTTTTCTGTATTCAAAAAATTTGATTATTTGTTTATTTAGTGGTGTCACAAAAGTTTTGAATGTTCTCTTTCTTCTTTTTCATTTTCCTTCTTCATTTTCCTCCTCTTTATTTATTTTGTCTGACCAATACATTTCAAGATTTGTCCTTGAGGTTGGATAGTCTTTCTACCTTTTAATTAACACTGTTGTGGGGATTTCAAGCTTTTAATTAACTTACTAAGCTCTTCATTTCCAAGATTTCTGTGGTTTTTTAGAATCTTCCAAATTCATCTTTTTCTTTTCTTGTTATGGTACCAGGAATCAAACTCAGGAGCTTGTGCTTGCTAGGCAGGCGCTGTATGGCTGAGCTTTATCCCTGCCTCCATTCATCATTTATAGCCTACACTGTTTTCCTACTTTCACTGAATTGCTTATTTGTATTCTCTTAGATCTCTTAGTCCTTTTATAATCATTCTTTTACATTTTTTTCAGATATTTCAATCTTATTGATTTCTTTGGGGTTATTGTAGATAGTTATATTTTTGAAGTCATCCTGTTATATTGTTTTTCCTATTCCTCATGCTTCTACAATGATATGTGTAGGTCTCGTGGGTCAGTTATCTCCACCTCTTCTCTGGAGTGGCACCTCAGTCAGTGCATTTCTCATGAAACATACCTAGGGTGTCAGTTTGTAATGCAGTGTTCACTTGATTTCTGGCCAGGACCAGAGAGCAGTTTGCCTTAGCTTCTTTGGCTGTGATGCATGCCTTTGAGTATAGCCCATACCATGGTGGACTCAGAAAAACCCAGTTTCTGCAAGCCATGCAAGTGTGGGCACTCTTGAAGTTCACGCTGGTGTAGTGCAGACAGCAGTGCTGTGAGGTGCTCACTGTGTGGCTGCTTTTACAGTGAGGTCCCCTCAGGCACCATTCATGATAGCTCTGCTGCCAGCAAAGCTGCTACCACCCAGGGTGATGAGCAGTGCAGAGCACTTGTTCTCCAGCAAGAGCAGATGCCAGGTGGAGAAAGGTAGCGGTGAAGCCTTAGTACCCTGTATTTCACTAGGGATCTTTCAGGCCAGAGGAGAGCTTTTCAGTGTTTCATCTCAACTAAATAATTGTCACCCAGAGATGTCCAAAAAGATACACTTGTTCCGATGTTTCCCAGCCTAAGTTGGGGCCTAAGGGAAAGTTAAATTTCCACTCACATATGTTACATGCTTCTCCACTAAATGTTAAGTTTCTGACCCAGGAGGTCTTTCCCCCTTCCACACTAGCATGGACATCAGCTTCTCCTCTCCTTATACAGTAAGACCCACCAGTTCTTCTTCAACTATATCCCTCTCCATTTTTATTTCAAGATGGCTTTTAAGTTTGTCTCACATGGAGGGTTAACACTGCTGTTGACATTTGAATTTCTCAAGGGAAGGTCCACACTGCTTTATTATGAGATCAAGCATTGCTTTCCCAGTGGTAAAGGGAAATGCTCAAAATATTGATGTCTTAAATATTTCTGGGAGTCCTCGTAGGCTTTTTTTCTTTTTATTAGTCTGTGTTTGCAGCACATACTGATCACATCAGCTGTGGAGAGTTGGTCCATGCACGTGACACATCTTCATTCTTTCTTTATCTCCTCTCTCTCCCCTCCTTCCCCCCTCTTTCTATTTCTTGGTCCCTTTCCCATTTGCAAAAGATCTATCTCTCTATTTTCTGTTTTCTATCTGTATTTTATTTGGCTCTTTATTTATATTTACATTATTTCTTATATATGAGAAACCATGTGGTATTAAAGCTTATGAAAAACAGAGTTTATGTGTTTGATATTTCACTCAGCATTATGGTCCCAAGGTGCATCCATTTTCCTGCAAATGACACAAAGTATACTCTTCTTTGTGGTACAGTAGTACTCCGTTGTGTGTAAAGACCACATTTTCTTTATCCATTTGTCTTTGATGATCATATAACCTGTCACCAAGATTTACATAATATAAATTATGCTGCTATATTCATGAGTATGCATGTATCACTATAACACGATGCCTTTAACTCAGAAAGATACCTAGAAGAGGAATAGCTGGGTCAAATGGAATTTCTTGTTTTAGTTTTCTGAAGAATCTCCATACTGATTTCCATACACATTTTTCTAGTTTATGTTTCCACCAACAATGTAAAAGGGCTCCTTTTTTCTCACAGTCTCACCAGCATTTATTACTATTATGTCTTGATGACACTGTTTTTTCTGGATTAAGATGGAGTCTATGTGTTGGTTTCATTTGCATTTCTCTAATGGCCAGAGATGGGTCTACATTCAATCTTCTGCCTGCAGATAACCAATTTTCCTAGCACCACTTGTTATAGGAGCTATCTTTCCTGTAATATGTGCCTGTTGGGGGGGCCCTTTGTCAGAGAACAGGTAGCTGAATGTGTTTCTGCATCTTCTATTCTGTTCCACTAATCCGCAGGTCTGTTTTGTACCATGCTGTCTGTAATATAACTTGAAGTCTGGGATTGTGATGCCTCCTACTGTGCCCTTCTTCATCTCTTCTGGTTCCACATGAATTGTAGAACTGCTTTCTCTTATTCTGTGAGGAATGCTATTTATATTTTGGTTGGGATTGCATTAAATCTATGTATCAGTTTTGTAAGTATGGCCATTTTGACTTTATTCGTTCTCCCTGTCCAGGAACAGGGGCTATCTTTTCATTTTATGATGTTTTCTTTGATCTCTTTGTTCGATATATTGTAGTTGTCATTGTAGAAGTCTTTTGCTTCCTTTGTCGATTAATTCCTAACTATTTAATTTTTCTTGATGGTATTACGAATAGTACTGTTTTGCTAATTTCTTTATTGGTGAGTTTATTATTGATGTACAAGATTTTGTGTGTTGACTTTGTATTCTGTTGACTTTGTATTCCAGGGTCTCTTCATCCCTGGCTATTCACCTACTTGAATTTATTAATTCAAGGAGTCTTTTGGTAAAGTTTTTTAGGTCTTCTATGTACAGGATCATATGATCTGCAAATAATAATAATTTGACTGCTTTCTTTCCCATACTTATCCTTTTCATTTCTTTCTCTTACATTTGATTTATTTCCATTTTGTCTGCATATGAATTCCCGAAGGGTTTTATCTGAAGACATAATTATCTACCATTCGTGAAGTCTTGCAAACTATCAGTTTCTCTAGCACGAGTCTCGGTGGTGCTGAGAATTTGCATTATGCAGTAGGCATTTGCTGCTGTGGGCTGGAAGCTGACTGGCCCTTCCAGAAGGCATCAGCAACCCAGGACCTGTCCTGTTTTGTGACAGGAGTCAACTAGAGTGTCTTCCCTCCACCTCCAGCTGGTGTTATGCCTGGCTGGAATGTCCTGACTGGGATGTCTGTCTGTTCTTTATCAATCCAGTGTCACTATGCTGGACTCCAAAAAACCTGAAACATATCCATCATTATACCTGATATTTATACAAATTTAGATTGTTTCAAGACATCTTTTTAACATCATTTTCTTAAAACTAAGTTCATCTTTTCCTCACTGTTAATTTTCCTTCAACATTAACTCAGTATAATTAAAAGTATAGTGTATTTCTTTCCTGGGTCTCTTCATCCCTGGCTATTCACCTACTTGAAAGTCTCTCCTAAGCAAGAGGCAAATCATGTTATCACCTTTAACTACTACCTGTCCCTTACCATCCCCTTACCAGAAAAGCTTATATCTTCTATATCAAAAAATCTCAGATGTAGGTCATAGTTCCTTCTTATTATGAGTTATGTGACTACAGGGCAATTATGGGACTTCCCTGAGTCTCATGCATAAAATGATGATCATAAAGTTTGCTTCCTTTGTAGAATTACATTGATAATCCAATGACATCACTTATAGCCAACATAGAACAACCTCATGTAACCCCATCTTCAAAATAATTAACTGAATCATTAAAAGATAAGCATTAAGATGCTGAATTTCTAAATCTTGCTTAGAACACTTTCAGCAGCTAATCCAAGTTGTGATTGGATGTTAATATGAATATCTGAGAGATTCACTAGTAATCTGCTGTGGTCCTGATGCTGCTCATTTTTTTTTACCTAAGCAGGAAGAACAACCAGTGGAATAACAAAGAATGAATCTGTCACCACTGAAGAGACCGTGATGAATTCCTCATTCCAGAGCTCCCCAAACATGAGTGAGTATGAGGGTTCATGTTGCTGTGTTGGACGCGTGTGAATGGAATGGCCTCAGATTGTTCTCCACAGCTGCAAAAGAACTTTGCCTAACTGTACTCCCTCAGAGTCTCTATCAAAGTTAAGAATGCAACAGATTTTTCTGTCACAGTGATACTTTATCCTAATATAGTCACAGACACGTCAGTGCCAAAGAGTCAGCACAAGGACACCTGGCTCAACAAGGAAGATGACTTTGATACAATGTGAATGTTCTTGGAAAGAGACAAGCTGCTAAGAAGTTACACAAGACTTCAAAGACTTATAACAATGGAGAAAACTGAAATAGAAAATTAAAACTCTTCCCAGCCAGAAAACTCCAACCAGGCTGGCTTTGATTGTGAGTTCTACAAAACAGTTTTCAAAAGAGCTGACACCGACTCTTGCCAAACACTCCCCAAAAACTGAGGGAACACTGCATGTGTACTCCTCCAAGGCCAGAATTGCCTTTTTCATAAAGCTAGAAAGGAATTAAAAATAAAAAGCAGTTGATGAAAACTATACATCAGTATCCCTCATGAACACAAAGAAGAATATCTTTAATATTAGTCAGCAAGCCACAATTAAATAAAGGAGAATATGAAATGTGAACAAATAGGATTCATCCCACAAATACACATTGATCACACATACAATAATTAAATAATATAATATTCCATTTAATAGAATTAGTACATGCAGAAAGAGTATTTGACAAAATCTACCAGCCACTCATAAACTCTTAATGAAGAAGAAATGAAATGGAACTTCCTAAACGTGATAAAGGACATTTACATAAACCTACAGCTGACATCATGCAAAATAATGAAAAATGTAATATTTTCTCCTTAAGACTGGAATGTATTCAAGATAGTCCATTCTTATTACTACTATTCATCATTATTAAACAGAAGTTCCAAATAGTACATAAATGGATGGACAGAGGATGGGTGTTATGGTTGGATACATTGTGTCAACTTAAGAAGTTCAGAAGGTGAACTCAGTGACTCAGCCAGGGCCAGGATCTTTACTTTGTATTCATCCTGAGCCTGAGCAAGAGGAGGACACCTAGATGGTGTGGGCGAGTAGCTAGCATAAAATTCAAGGGAGGAAAAGAGGCTCTCCCGCCCTCGTGCTCTTCCTGCTTTTGCCTTGAACTGTCTTCCCCTTGAACTGTCCCCCCTGTGCCACACCACTTTGCCTTGGAGCCAGCTGATTACAGACTGAAACCTCCACAAACTATGAGCTAAATAAACCTTTCCTTCCTTAATTTTGGGGTGTTGGGTATTTTGTCTCAGCAAGGACAGAAAAGTAACTAACACAATGGATAAGGAGGAAAATAGATGCATCAAGTTGGAAAGGAAGAAATAAAATAGGCTTTATTATCAGACTACACAGTTGGGTGTGCAAAAATTGAAAGATTCACAAAAAACCATGAGTAGTTTTTACCACAGAATACAAGATATATAAAAAAAACTCCTAGTTTTTTATATTGGCAATGGCAATCTAAAATAAAAGAAATAATTACATTTACAATAACATCCAAAAATAAAAAATATTTAGGAATAAATTTAACAAGAGAAATGTAAGATTTGTTCACTAAGGTCCACAAAAGTGTAATGAGAATTGAATAAACAGACATTACATGTTGATGGACGGGAAGACTTGATGTTTTAAATGATAATTCTTCTCTAATTGATCAATAATCATTAACATTTTCAATTCAGCCCTTATTAGAATGATAATTTTTGTTGTTATTTTAAAATTGATGAGCTCATCCTAAAATTTATATGGAAATGGAAACAGCCTAAAGTAAAAAGAAGAAAAAAGCTTTTGAAAATGAAGAATAAAATTAGAAAACCTTCACAATCCAATTTCAAAACTTACTGTAAAACTGTAATAACCAAGTATGAACCTCAAAAATACTTTGTTCAATGAAATCATATACAAAACATGATAAGTAATATGATCCCATTTATAATAAATGTATAAAAAGAATCTTTGAATTTATTTTGACTGATACCTGATACAAGAAAACATAAAAGTTGTGTATATTTAGTGTGTATCTCCTGATGTTTTGATACATGCATAATTTATATGATGTTTAAATTCAGGCAAAGGCGTATGTCTCCTCAACCATAATTTCTTTATGGGAAAAGCATTCAGGATCTTTTCTGTCAGTTTTGTGATATATAATCCATCACCATTAGCTGTAGTCACTCTGGTGTACCAGAGCCTCCTGGAGCCTCTCACTCAGATCTGTCACTCACTCAGTTCTGATCAAACTCTCTCCCTTCCCTCCAGCATTCTCCACTATACTCACAACTTCTCTGAGGTTAACTTTTTATATAACAAGTAGGAATAAGACCATGTGGCCCTTGTCTCCCTGTGCCCTGCTTATTTCACTTAACACAATGATGTCTAATTTCACCCGCATTTTTGCAAAGTACAAAATTTTATCATTTGTATGGCTGAATCACATTCCACTGTGTATATGTACTACCTTTTCTTTATCTATTCATCACTTGAACACTTGGGTTGTTCCCATTTCCTGGCTACTGTAAATAGTGCTATGTCTCTGACACATTGATTTTATTCTGTTTGTATATACTCAGAAGTGAAGTTCCTGGGTCATACGGTGGCTATAGTTTCAATTTTTTTTAGTAATCTCTATTTAATTTTCCACAATATCACTATTTGTTTCCCTGCCCGGGAAGGATGCACAGTCTCTTTTCTCCATCGTGTCACCAGCACCTGTTATCCCTGTCCCTTCTATAAGAACCACTCTTCTTGGGAGTGAGATGCTAACCTCCTTTGTTTTTGATGTATTTCCTTAGTGATTGGTGATGTCAAGCATTTCTTCATGTATCTACTGGCAATCTGTATGCCTTCTTTTGTGAAATGTCTGTTTAGGTCTGTTGCCCATTTTGAAATCAGATTATTTGTGAAAAGACATTTTCATAATAAAATAGCTAACTGCCTGCAGCTGGAAGTGATATTAATGTACAAAAAGATTCAAGGAAGTTTTTCATGACCATGGAAATGAGGGGACAGTTGTACAATTGCAGCCTTACTAAAAATTATTAGCTATGTACTTGAAAGGAGTGAATTTCTATATTATTCAGTATTCAAATAGTATCCTTTTAAAGCTTTGTTTAAAAACAGAAAGAAACAAAATGTTGAGCATGACCAATTAAATTTCCTTTCTGAACCTTCATAACTAGAAACTCTAAACAAACAAGAATTAGCCATGGGAATTAAAGCTTCAAAATGTTAGCTTAGTGTTCTGAGAAAATGACAGCCATTCACGTACATGTCTATAGCATAAGGAAGCAGGCATTATGAATAACTAGAGCTGGGAGGGAAGGATGGAGAAGATGTGGGAAGGAGGCTAGAGACCCCCCTACCCTGGAGCAAAATTAAAATGCTCATGACAGACTGAGAGAAGCAGAACACAGATCTCCCACAATTCCCAGCTTCTGGTAGCAGCCCACATATATCCTCACAAGTTCTTGGCCTTTAGGTCAGAAGTTTGGAGGGAGATACACATCTAGTCAGAATGTCCTGAAGCAGGAGGGAACGACTAGCCATGTGCCATGACAGCCCCAGCAGAGGCATAATCATTAGTGAGTAAATCTCTGTACCCATAACAGAAAGCAGCAATGGGTGGCACACAGTCCCCATCTCTGTCACTAGATCTCTAAGGTAAATAGAGAGGGCAAGAGAGAACGATAGGTGTCCAAGACCCACTCTGGTCCAGAAATGCACCAGGAATACCATTTCTCCCCTTTTTATTGCAGTCACTTAAGCACACCATAAAGCTGTCCAGAGTTAGGTAGTCTGTTTTCATGCCGTAACTGTAACCTGTGGATTCTATTTAATGAGACAGTTGCCTCAGAAAATTTGAGGAGTAGATTCTTCTCTCTTTCATAGGAAGAATAGTTTCTTTGTAATAACGTTTATGCTCTGATAAATAGAACCTATTTTGTAGATAACATAAATCTGAAAGGAACCTTCAGGAAACACAACTCACATACCTGGTAATATATATGATTGCTCCTCATGAAAACAAAAGTAAGCTACACAGGCATCTATAGACTACATCAGAGCTTCTGAAAGATTAAACTGTAGTTTCTCCTCTGTACTAAACATTCACATATTCACTGAGCAATGGTTATTAAAATAGGTGTGTATATAGGAGTATGTGGTCAGCCCATGAATCACTTAAAACTTAATTTTGCTTTGATTCACTAAGTAAATTGCCCTCTGTTTCTTGGTACTGGAGACTGCTGTTTTTATGTAGCTCCTGAACACAGTTGGAAATGGCTTTCCTCCAAGTTCTCAAAAAAGACATCAAAGCCATTTCTTAAAAAAAAAAAAAAAAAAAAATGAGCCACCTTGGAAAACAACATAATGAAATAAAGGCATTTACTTTTGTCTTTTGCACTTGTCATTTGTTTAAGCAGCCCTACATGAAGTCTTTTAGGTATCTGTTATAAATATCTAGCAAATTCCCTGGCTCTTAGAAGCCGTCTTTCCTGAGCTGCCTTCCAGGTGATTTCTGCTCCGCATAGAGTCCACATGACATGATGAACTGCACAACTTCTATAGGTTATGCGGTGAAATCAGGACCCTCCCAGACTGCTGGCTAATACAACTTTCTTCCTTCCACCTTTTGTTCCCCAAGGTGGAGTTGAGGCCATCCCCTCTGAACTCACAGGCAATAGTCCCTGTGGTAACTTGTTATAGGTGTGTCACATGTTGAGAGGTTTGATGCAGCATATAGGAATTAGGGGTTCACTGTTTTACTCCTTTGAAAGGTCAGATGGAGACCAAACACAGGAGATCCTCAAATTGTTGTCTAATCTTTCTTCATTTTCTTAGAGTTGTGTGTATTTCTCCCATTTTGTTCTGTCTGTAGAAAATAAATACCCCAAATCCTAGAATCTTTAGGATAGAAATCTTCATTGACTCAGTTTTCTGA